CTCACCCTGACACACAGCACTGGGACCCAAACTGCTGGAGCAGAAATAATCTTGAACATCATTAAGCCATTGAGCCTCTATTGCTGTGAAGAATATCAGAAACTACTTTGTATTTTTTTTCTTACTTTTCCGTTTTTAAAAAAAACCTTTTTTCTTTCACTTCTTGCTTTCTTTTTGCTGTTTCCTTTTCTTTTTTCCTTAATTTTATATTAGTTTGCATTAGTTTTCTTTTTAAAGACTTCAATAAAAACCATATTTTAAAAAGGAATTGTAATGATGATTTGATGACGATAATGAAAAATATTCTTCAGGATATTTGCAAGTGTGGAAACAGAGATTTTCATTATTTATCCTTAAATGTGAACTCTAGGCAGCTCCTTTCAGATAGGATCACCTTTAGGATTCTAGTAGTCTACCATAAACTTATTACCTTGCTGGCTATTCGGGGGTCCAGAAATACATTTACCTGAAATAAATATTCTGCCTCAATTTCAGAGACAGAATTCTGTCTTAGCTGTAGAAAATCAAAAGCCTATCCATTGTGAAGATGAGAAGCTATTTACTGTGTTGCAAGAAATTTTTACCCTAATCCCAATTTAAACCAATAAAGCCAAACAGTGAAACAACAATGCTTTGAAGTTTTATTGATTTGTGACCATAGTGTGTTCTTAAGACAAAATTTATATGTAAAGAAGCATTTTTATGAAACTATTTATGTACATCATCTTTCTGCTTACCTTATTAGGAACCACCCATAATTATTGGTATGCGTTTGCTTCTATCTCAGTAACTTATTTTAAAAACAAGGAGAAGTGTTTTTAATTTGTATATGGCCTGTGCTTCACATCACTTATTTTCTTTCCAGCAAGTGCTGTGCTTTGGATACCTTTACTACGTGACAATTACTTCTAGCTTATTCAATTGAACACCTTAAATGTGGCTTTGGTTATGGTTGCTAATGCTTTCTGGTATAGAGGTCTGCAATGTTCATTCCCGTTGAAATTATCCTCCTTCTATCTTCTGGGTTTTATCTTTTCCTGTGAGGAAATGGATAGGGTGGTCTATTTCAAAAGGTCTATTTCTTATTACTTGCTTTTATGCATCAAGACTTTTTTTTTGGGGGGGGGGCAAATTATTTATTAAAAGTATTTTTTTTTACTAAGTGTGACTTTTATATCATTGAAACTTACAACTCACTCTATTTCTATACTGTCTCAGTCTCACCCTGCCTATGGAAATCCACTTTGGTTAATCCTGGTTAATTCCCCTGGCTGTCATCAGCTTGCGGCATTTTGGTGCCAGCCTTATATTTATTTAAATTAATTGTTACTCTTGCTGGACTCTTGTTCATTCGCTTTGCTGGCCTGAAAAGTTAGTGTGATTCTGATTTTGCAGTCACTGATATTTATGCTACTGATAGTTTAGAATGGTTACAAGGCTCTTCAGTTGGATAGTGCTGAATGATTGGACTGCAATATTACCATCAAAACAACAACACACCCCTTTTCAGCATCCAGCATGGCCCTTTGCAAAAGCCTCATTTCCATCTAAGTCAACATCTGAGGAAAAAAAATTCTCAGTCCTCAGTTCTCCAGCTGTCACTCCTCTTCTGCAAAAAAAATGAAAAGAAAATCAGAGTTACACTTTAACTACTTCACCCACTGGAACATCTCGACTCAGAATTTATACTTGTGTTAAGGCAGCTACTGTGACTTATTCAGGAAATCATGATTCAAGCAAATCATGGAGTAACATAATGCATTTGTTCAATCAGCCATATTTGCTATCTTTCCCTCTGTCTCTCGCACTCAAATACACTGTACCCCCAGTGTGGGCACGCAAAGTTCCAGAATGTATTAATTGCTCCTCTCTCAGTGCATCAGATCAAAAATGTTCCTTCTATTTGCCACTTCAGTTTAGCTTTAAGTACTCATCCCTATTTAAATTGCATTCCTTCCATCTCAATTGGTATTTCAATGGGCTTGGAAAAAGCAAGGCTGAGGCACAGCTAGGCTGTGACGCCATGTCATTTAAGTGCTGGATAGACAACGTGCTTAGTGTAGGTCAGCTGGAAGGAAATGACAGTGATTTTAGCCTTTGGGCATCCATTTCAGAATGGAGGAAATTGAAATCCTGCTAGTGGAAATAACTTGAGAGTTACTAAGGTAGTATTTCTAGGCATAGTCATAACATTGACTGACCAACTGCATTGCTGGGCTGCACTATCTGGATTGTAAAAATCCAAACAGCCACTAGATGTTAGCAAAGAAAGATGGAAAATTCTAATATTTTGCTGCCAACTTGTGGCTGTTTAGCAGCTTAGTCATAGGATGCCCCAGAAAGGTGCAGATAGCATGAAACTTCACAATAGACTCTAAAAGTCAGGGCTTTTCCCTACCTTTCAGCAGTTTCCTGATTTTCTTTCACACACAGATTGAAATTGCACTCCATGCTGAAAGGCAACAATTCAGTTGCCTTCTCTCATTGGTTCTTTTATTCAGAATATTCCTGTGATTTTGATTACAAAAGGATTACAAATAACTTAAAAGGGGCTCACAAATTCTGTAATCAGGCTTGCAAAAGGGGAACCCTGTCAAAATTTGCTAAGGGCTTTGTACCCCAGCTTACCTCCGGAAGCCCACAATTGGTTACTGAAGTCTGAGAAATTTGTGATACACAAATTAGATTTTTCAAAGTAAGTACAGCAAGTGGCATGCTGAACTAGTGAAATTATTGTTTCTGTATTGGATGCTGGTGAATGGGAGTATAGGTATTTGTATCTACAGTGGTGCCAAACATGATTAATGGCATCAAGATGCAAAGCCTGCCCTGCCATACTTGTATTAATGATGTCACACTTAAATATGGAAGGAACAGACTATGCATTGCAACATACATTTTGTTACTTTCTACTCTTGTAGATACCTTCTGGGGGATCAAATGTTATTGCATCTTCAATTTTTTAGTTTTCTTCTTGTTTGGGTTTTTTGTTTACTTTCCCCCCCAGTTTTTATTTTTTATTTACTTTTGTTTGTGTTATTATAAAATACCTTGTACTTCTGATTTTTTTTCCAAAATTCCCACTGATTTCCCCCAAAGTAAAATATGTCTGCAGATATAGGCAGTTGTCCTGAGAAATAAAATGTTTATGTTGGCCTGGGGCCCCACTGGGGGATCAGCATGATGGAACTGGTTGATCCAGTAACAAGACATCCCACCGCTCCACATTCTGCCCACTTTCCCCATGCGCCCTTAGATCTTAATCTTTGGTTTTATTTATGTTGTAATAATGTAGATATATTTTTGATTATTGTAAGCCACGCAGTTATCTTATGGTAAGACAGGCAGTCAATACATTTTATAAATGACAACACATAAAATATGGCAATATGGTAACAACATCACAAATGTTCCATTACTTACTTTATGAAAAGAAACTACTCATCATGTGATAGGGTTTTTTTGGCTCAGATGTACAAAGAACTTGACTGACCTAAAGTATTATATACCTAGAATGGAACAAAAGGGACCCCACCTATTATTCCAATCAGACTTTGGATCAGTATACAGAACAATGTTGAAAAAACTAACTTTAAGATGTGTGAACTGACACATAGCATGCTGGCTGGAGAATTCTGGAAATTGAAGTCCACCCATTTAGTTACCAAGTTGAAAAAACATTAGTAGACATTAGACTCAAGAACAGTTCCCCCCCACAAAAGCCATCACTCTGCTAAACAAATAATTCCCTCAACACTGTTCAGCTATTTACAAAGTCTGCACTACTATTACTGTTAATCTTCTCATCACTCCTTATCACCCATCCTCTCCCACTTGTGATTGTAACTTTGTCGCTTGTATCCTTACAATTTATATTGACTGTTTCCTAGTATGATTTGATTGCTTATTGTACCCTATGACTATTATTAAGTGTTGTACCTGATGATTCTCGGCTCTTGATGAATATATATTTTCTTTTATGCATACTGAGAGCATTTACACCAAGACAAATTCCTTGTGCATCCCAATCACACTTGGCCAATAAAGAATTCTATTTTATTCTATTAGTATATAGAGTGACTGCAAAAACTGATTATTTTCCATCTCACTCCACACAAACCTGTTTATTTCCTTCCTAGTTTTTCAGCAAGTGCAGGATCTGTTAGGAATATAAGCCACCTAACAGGTATTTGGGTTAGAAATATATAAACCAGGATAAACATTTTAAAACTGTAACTTTAAGAAACTGCAAAACTGTAATTGGGTGTGTTTTCTCAAACAGCCATAAGAGGGAGCCAGAAACCTGGGTTGTTCAGTCTGAGTTGCAGAAGAGAGTCTGAGTGATTATCCCTGTTTCCTTCTGTTGTAAAATATTGCCTTTGCTCCATTTCTTCTAATTGACTGATATTACTGGATTTAATGTAAGTCTGATACTGAACTGTTTTTGACACTGGAATTTGATATTTGGATTATCCCTGGATTGAAAACTGACTGATTTAACTTTGAATGACTTTGGATTGCTTATTTTGGACTTTGCTTAAATCTTTCTGGAAGGAAAAACCCACATTTACTGTACAGTGTATCTGTGTACTGTGTGTGTATTATTCAAACACTTCTCTCAAATACGTCTCCCTGTATGCGCTCATTCTCCTAACGGAATTACCTCAACAGGATCTACTCTTTTTTTCGTTCAGCCAAATCTCTAAGGAACTAGTCTCTTGATTTTTAGCCAGGTGGCTTAACCACTAGACCGAACTGGCTCTTACTCTGCAAGACGCTTATACCTCGGATCGAAACGAGACCCACCTAACAGGATCAGCAACTGGAATTATCGTTCCACCTGCAAGCACCCTATAATTCCCAGCCCACTGGCGGAAACGTCATGGGAGAGAAGACTGGGCTACAGTCTCCAACTCCGCCAGCGTCCAGCGCTGAACTGCAATGGGAGCTGCGAAAAGCATGGGGGCAAAAATTGAGTTAGTACGCATGCGCAGAGTCCGGGTTGCCTCACAGCGTCGCCTCTGCCTGTTTTTTTCCTTTCCGGCGGCCATCTTGGTTCCCTCCGCGTGCGGCTCTCAGGGTCGGCGCTTCCCTCCTGCGGCTTTTCCTGCTCGCTTGCCGGGACCCGCCCGTTTCGTCCCGCAAAGGTACGGCAAGATCGCCCCCCCAGGAGAAAAGTGGGAGGGAGACAGAAAAAACAGTCGCAGGTGGCAGTCGAGATCCGTTTCTGGGACAGCCCTGGTGGGCCTCTCTTGAGTCGGGAAGACGCCCGGGGCCTTGAGCGCGTAGTGAATCCCGGTGCAGCCTCCGGAAGTGGCCGCCTGATTTCGGTCGCTCCACAGCCGTCGGCACTTGGGGGAGCGGACGTTGCCTTCTCTCATGAGGAAGGACAGTTGCTCGTAGGCTGAGCCGAGCAAGGCCGGGGCGTGGAGGGCGGAGATCCTTTGAGGGTCCCTTTTAATCCCGCCGGCCCCGAAGCGGTGCGGCTCTACTCGTTTTAACCCTCCCGTTTGCTTTTTTTTGTGTGTGTGCCTTAGATGAAAGAAACGATCATGAATCAGGAGAAATTAGCTAAACTGCAGGCCCAAGTGCGCATCGGTGGGAAGGTAAGACGGGCTGCTTCCCATTTCTCGTCCCTCTTTAACCTCGCACGAAATTAGGATCTTAACCGTAGCCATTTTGGGGGGGTCGGGGGTGGGGGTGGGGGGCTTGCGGTGGCTTAGCCCCCCAAAAGGCCTCGCCTAACTTTCATCTGGCTTTCATGGATTAATTCTTTTTTTTCCTTTCATGGTTCGTTTGAGGCGTGACTTTGTAACTGGTTTGGAGGGGCGAGCTGCGAGATGAACCTCGCCTGGGGGGGGTCTAGTGTTACGCAGATCTGTTAGAAAAGCATTTCGTGAAAGTTATTCACAGAAAGTGTATCTTTTTTTTTATTAGAAAAACTTTATTAAACGTTAAAAAAATACGTGTTTTTAGATAGGCCTCATTTTTATGTGATGACATTGTTAGGTAGGTGAACAAGTAAATCGTAGCTGGTTGATAAGTTTTCTAAAATCATGAACGGTCTGGCTAAGTGAGGACAGATCTGGTTAATACTTGAGTGAAAGACAACCAGAAAAATAGCAAGAGTTGTAGGTTGGGCTATAAAATTAAAAAAAAAAAGACATCCCAGGAAGAACACAGGGTCCACCATTTTCACATTGTTGCTACTAAAACTGTAATTATAAGGAGCCATTTTTGAGGCGAGGTGTTTGAGGAGACTGTTTCTTAACTTGCATAGCAGTTAAATTCATTGGTAAAGAAAAAGAAACTAAGGCCATTTTGTTTTGGAGAAAAACTAGGTACATTTAGAAACAAATGTAATGTGCTTATGTCTTCATTGGTTTAATCAAACATTGAATTGAAAACTTCTAAAGAAAAGCCTTACATTCACCATACTGTACTTTGCATGTGGTTATATTTGAGTTGATGTTAGTGCTGCTAATGAAAAGGGATGTTTTCATGTTATAATAACCACAATTATTAGTATCTGAAAAATATACTTTTATTTCTGGCAATTTGTGAAAATAACCTGATAAAGATTATTTGCTAGCAATACATAATGTACTAAAGATATACCGCGTTTCTCATATAATAAGGCCGGGTCTTCTTTTTTTTTTTTTGAGCCCCCCCAAAATGGGTAGGCCGTCTTATTGGGGGTGACTGGGCGGGCGGGTGGCGATGGCTTGGATGTTGACCTCGGCGTTGGTGGGGCACTTCATATCAGGAGACCTTCCTCCACTGTTGCTTTCCCTTCTGTGGCCGCGTTTGGCGCAGCCACGCGGGGCTGGCCAGGGCTCTTCCCTGCAACTGGAGCCCGGGAGAGACACTTGGTTTCAGGTGCTCCTGTCACCGCCTTCCTGGGCCTTTTTCGAAGGCAAAGCCTATTCTTTTAAAAATGACGCCCTACTATGACAAAGCCTCCCCTGCCGGAGAGGGCAGACCAACCCCATGTGGAGAGGCGAATCTTCTGGGCCGCAGCGCAGGATTGGCCCATCCCGGGAGAAGTGCCCAGCCACCATCCCTGCCTGGCGCTGGGCAGAACTTCACCTGGGCGCCCAGCGCAGCTGATATGCGGGCCTTCCTGCCCAGCGGCGGAGCTCTGGCCAAGGCAGCGAGCCCCTCCCTGCCCATGCCGCGTCCGAGCTGAGCCCTGCTGAATGAGCGCTGATGCCTGTGCTGCTGCAGCATTTGGAGCATCGCCGTCATGTTTGTAGATGTACGGGGACGGGCTGGGTGAGGGGTGGAAAGGACGGGTGCCTTTGGGCTCTCTCCACCAGACCCACCAGCCAGGGAAGCAGCGCTGCCCTCGCCTCACCTCCCTATCTGTGGACGGGTGGGTCCTATCACTGCCTTGGGCGGCTTCTCCCGGTGGCCTCTTCAGGGTCGGCCTGGAGGGACTTGGGAAGCCAAGCTCTGGTCGGCCTGGCTCTTTCGCTTGGCAGGAGGGTGCACACCCACAGCTCACTTTCCCGGTTCTGCCCAGCCTGCTGAGCTCCGGCACGGCCTTGGGATGAGCGGAGGGCCCGGCAGGGAGGCACTTGCTGCCTTGGCCAGAGCTCCGCCGCCGGGTAGGAGGGCCCACCTGTTAGCTGTGCTGGGTACCCCAGGCAAAACTTCGTGCTCTGCCCGGCGCCAGGCAGGGATGGCGACTGGGCACTTCTCCCCGTGTGGGCCGATCCTGTGCTGCAGCCTTGGGAGATTTACCTCCCCATCTGGGGTTGGGCTGCCCTCTCGGGCAGGGGAGGCTTTGTCATAGTACAGTATCATTTTTAAAAGAATGGCCTTTGTCTTTGAACGATGCCCAGGAAGGCGGCGACAAGCTGAGTGTCTGCCGGGCTCCAGTTGCAGGGAGGAGCCCTGGCCGGCCCTGCATGGCTGCGCCAAATGCCGTGGCGATGCTCCAAACGCCGCAGCGGCACGGGGAGTAGGGAAAACAATGGTGACGGAAGGTCTCGATACGAAGTGCCTCACCAATGCTGAGGTCAACGCATGCAGCGCCATACCGGGGTGTGCAGCAAAAGTACTTGGCGACAGTAGGGAGGTTGGTGGCGAGGCATGGCTGCCCACGGGGTGCTCCTAATGGCAAGCCCCCGCCCTTCCCCGCCCCCATTTTACATGTTTTAAAATAGGCTTAATTTGGGGGGAGGGGCTTAATTTCATTTTATGCCTATAAAACATGCTGGGACATCCTATTGGGGGAGGCCGTATTGTTGGAGAAACACGGTATATTGAAACTAGTAAATTGAACAGAGTTAGGTGTAGTTAGTAGTCCAGTGGAAGTTCCTAAGATGCTAAGGCTTTAGGCTGAAAAGTCTAGAAACATCTTAGAAGAAGGCAGTAATGAATCACATACTGTTACCAAGAAAACTCTTTGGACATTTTTTGAGGACTTCAGGAGTTGGATTTTAGTTAACACAGACTTTATCTTTTTATGCTACCTGTTCCTAAAGTAAAGATTTAACAAATTCAGTAAGACTTTTTCCATCAGACAGATTGCCAAACCAATGGCATACCACCACTGCTCTGGAATATAGTCTTGTGGCTACTTATTTGGAAGAAAGCCTATAAATTAATTATATGGCTGTCTTGCATAGATACACATGGTATTCTGTTCAAAGATTAAACATGGTCTGTGTACAAAATGGTGTGTATTATACCTTTCTGATACCATCAGTATTAGATTCACTGTGCATAAGAAACCTATCTTTAATTAAGGGTGGAGTCTGGAATTTCAGGTCCCAGCAAGTTTACAGCTGGAACATGTAATTTTCATCGTATACACTAAATGGTATTAAGCATAAAGCAGTATAGTTTTTGCACTGGAAATGATGTCTTAGCCTATGAATTTAGTTGATTCAGTTGAATTAAACTCTTCATGTTTTCAGAGTAAGGTATAGTACTGAAGGTATTGGGTTCATACTCTTAGCTAGGAAGCTTATTGAGCAGCATTCCAATCTTTCAGTCCAGTCTATACCTCATGGGTCATTACTGTTCATAAAATTAGAAGAAAAATTGCTACTGTATATTTGTCACTTTATCCTGGTTGATTAATTGGCACCCATCATTTGTAAAACTTCAGAATTGCTTAATTAGAATTTTTTTTTCTGCATATACAAGTAGCTGTGCAGAAACAAAAATGTGAAAATCCATTTCCATGAAGAATAATGGATGTGATTCAAAAAAAGGACTGTCTTAAAACGTTGACTCACCATTCTGCAGTCATTAAACCCACTGACTTAAAATACAATTCCAATCTAGCAGGTTTTATATTTTTCCTTTTTTTGTTGTTTAGTCCTCATGGCCTCCTGACAGAATTTCACTCACAATTTTTTCCTTCAAAGAAAGAGAACCTGAACTTTGGAGGATGTTTTGTGGAAAGGGGCTTTTTTTGAGTTTGATTTATTATATATAATATATGTCACCTTCTAGTAATGAAAGACCGATGGGTGCAACAGTATCTGCTTTCATTTTCTTCACAGATGCTTTGTATGTTTGCCTATGAAAATTGAATTACTTAAAGAAAACAGGGTATAAACTGCCAAAAGTATTTAACAATGTTTCAAATCCTACTGTTTCTTCTGTTAGAAGTTATTGAGCTCTTTAGATATATCTGTGCTACTAATGTTCGTGTTAATTCTCTGAAAAATATGTTTTCAGCATTTGGAATATAAGTATAATGAATAATATGGATAAGTCTGTTTTCAGCTAATTTTATTGAATTTGCTTCATTCTTGTTTATCAGTGGAATTGCTTAGCTTTAGTGCTTAATGCATCCAGAGATAGAATTAGGCTGCCTGACATTTACATGCTATGCATAAGTGTTTAAAGACAACATTTTGAAGACTTTAAAATGTACTTTTTATCTGTAGGGTACTGCTCGTAGAAAGAAGAAGGTAGTTCACAGAACAGCTACAGCAGATGACAAGAAGCTTCAGTTTTCTTTAAAGAAATTGGGAGTAAATAACATATCTGGAATTGAAGAGGTAACAGCTTTTTCTTTCAGTGCTTATAAAGACTTGACAAAATGCTGCTTTTAAGAAAATAGAGTTAGTAGGAAATGGGGGAAATGGAGTGCATTCATATAAAAATGTATTGGTACAATTAATAGATATTTTTCATGTATTATAGGTCAACATGTTCACCAACCAAGGCACTGTAATTCACTTCAACAATCCTAAAGTTCAAGCCTCACTAGCTGCTAACACTTTTACAATCACAGGCCATGCTGAGACAAAACAGCTGACTGAAATGTTGCCTAGCATTTTAAATCAGCTTGGTGCTGATAGTCTGACAAGCCTGAGAAGACTGGCAGAAGCTCTACCAAAACAATGTAAGTAAAGACCCACTATAATTAAGAATGAATATTCTGGAAGCATTTCTATTAAGTACCTAGATCAGCTTGCAATCTTTATGAAAAAGATGCTAAATTTGGGTTTCCATGGGAATGCCTTCTTAATTAGAACTTAATTTATTGTTCCTTATTTTCATTTGATACCCAGATTGAAGAAGACATGATAAACAGGAGATCTTTTTGACAAACGAATAAAAGATCTATATTAAAAGTATATTCTGGATGCTGAGTTATGCAGAGAAGATTTGAGAAAAAGTTTTTGTATAATTACAGGCTGGGGCAACAAAGAGTTCACGATAGGTGTAGAGTTAGCGCTGCAGGGATTATAATAGCATAAGAAGAATTGATAAAAATCTGGTTTTTGGAGGAATTGTGCTTTTAAAAATAAAGTGGGTGCATTCATCTTAGTAGACAATAGGATTATTTTCTTGTTCCACTAAAAAAAAAGCCCTTTATTGTGACTTGAATGTAAATCAAAGCAGGAAGGCACAAATTTTGCCCACAAGTGTAACTGCATCTTCATGCTTGTAATAGAAAATAGGCAAAAAAATTTGCCTAGTAATTAGAAAAATGATTCAGTGTGTCATGCAAAAAAGTATTACCTGGAATTTTAGATAATTCAAATGTCTTTCATGTCCTCTTCCAAAGAGTAGAATTAGAAAAGAATGATGATAATTCTGTTCCTCTATTGACAAAGACATTTTTAATGACTTGAGAAAACTGCAAGTACATTTTTTCTTAGTTCCTGAACAAAAGAGGAATTTTAACATCTTCCCTTGACTAATTAGTATGATTAGCCAGATTTTCTGCATATGAAGAAACTGGTTGAAAATATCTGGTGTACTTTTTCAAGGCTAAAAAAAGATAGAAATTGGTTGAAAAATATTTCAAGTTATGATCTCAAATACAACATTGAAATCAGAAGTGCTTTTGATTTTACCTTGGGAGCAGTCAATATTTTTTCTAGCTTGAATAATGTTGGACTGATTCTTCCTTAGTTTATTACGTGCAATTTTGGACTCCTTGCCAAAAAGCAAACTATATGCGTGAGATCTTAACTATTTTGAAAAATGGCAGATAACAAAATTCTAGACATACTTTGGGTGGCCTATTCCTATATTAAATATATTACATTCACAAATGTGTCTTGTTTGGAAGTGCCATTGAATTCAGTAAGACTCATTCTGAGGCAAGTGAATAAGAGACATTGTGATGGAAACTTAAAACATTAGATGCTTCATCCATGTTTTAATATGTGATTTCAGCTGTGGATGGAAAAGCACCTCTTGCTACTGGAGAAGATGATGATGATGAAGTTCCAGGTAAAAATTGTTAGCCTCATTTATTTTTAAGGTCAGGATTTGAAAAGATTTGTGTTCTTACTACTTTATCTGGAAGTATTTTTCGCCCAATTTTTGTTATGTCCAGAAGAGTGGAATATGGATTAGACTTTTGGTGTATATAGGTAACCTTCATGTTACAACAGAAGTTGGGACTGGAATTTCCATTGCCAAATGATGCAGTTGTAAAGTGCAAAGTTACCCGTATGATACTTAGGTACAACAGTTCAGGCATCCCTGATTGCTGCTGTTAAATGTATTGCCCTGGGTTGTCAGGCAAGGACACATGATTACTTTTGTGATTTCCTTTCAGCTTCAAATACTGAATCTGAAACAAGTATTTAAACATTAGTACCTCACAGGAATAACTGATAAGTACAGTAGACATCAACGCAGTAATGTTCACAAGTGAACATTCGCTTGCTGGAACCTGAGAACGGTCACAGATGGTAGCCATATGATTGTGGAATTCTGTGTCACAATTGTGAATAGGCACTGAATGCTTGGCTGCAGTTGCATGACCATGGGGACATTCCAGCAGCTGCAACTCATGGACAGGCTTCTTGTTCAGTGTTGTTATAACTTTGAATGAATAGATGTAACTGAAGGACTGCAATTGATCAAAAATAGTTGCATTACAATGCATTGCTTCCCTCAAATCAGTTGTGTAAGTATATGAGGTAGAGATAGTTGTATAGTTATGCAGGAAGCTTTAATACTTAGTGCCCTCTGACAGATATACAATTCTAAAATGCTTTAGATGTTAGCATAAAGCACAGGACTTTTTCCACTGGGGAAAAAAAAACCTCATTCCATTTTTTTTCCTTTGCAGATCTCGTGGAGAACTTTGATGAGGCTTCCAAAAATGAAGCAAATTGAATTGTCATGTTCAGTAAAACTTGAAAATTATGTGGAGCTGCTATTTTATATTGTGACTTTTATTCGTAATATTTTGTACTGATCTTAGTCTTAAGATCTGTAATATCTGGAAACTCAATTCAATGCAGCTCTCTTCAGTTGTTAATGCACAGTGCAAATGGGCTGGAAGTGCAAAAAATGGAAAAATACTAAGTCCAAAAGCTAATAAAGACTAAATTTTAGGCAAATACTTTATTAGTATTTTTGTATACAATTAAAACAATCACTTGTGGATAGTGGTGGGAAATGAAGGTTCTTGGCTTTAAATTTTATTTTGATAAAAACCTAAAATCTTCCAGAGCCACCTCTTTCGCATTACCTATTATTTATTCTAACATATAATAAAATGGATTTAAGTTCACAATTAGATTATTGATGGTGGTTCAGCTTTTATCTGGATAAAAGACAGGTTAGATTACTCAGTTATAGATAGGCTGGCACTAACCTTTTATTTAAAGGTTTCATGGTTGGCTTAATCTTCATTGGGTCACCCCTTCATATACTGGACTTCAACTCTTCAAGTTCTTAACAGTAGGACATCTTTATTAGCTGAGAATTATACAAGAAATCTGATATTGAGGAGCCTAAAATGGAGAAGGCAAACTTAAAAGGATGTTATTTAATATAAAAAAATTCCTTTGTTTATTTAAATGAATATGTATGCATGATCTTTGCTAACATATCTATACAGTGTGGACAATGCAGAATAATATCACATGGCTTCAGAAGAGCCTAAAGGCATTTACAATAGACTTTCAAATAATAAAGGAAATATCTGAGTTGCTGAGATTTTAGTGATAGGGTGATTTTTTTTAGTTTATTCTTTACAGCAACTGTTTGCCATTCTCCTTTCCATGTGGAAGTTAATATAAATAATTGTTCAAAATAACTACACATCGATAAAACTACCATCAGGAGCTGTTCTGGTTTCTTTGCTTTTATTTTTAAGACAGCAGTTTATTAACAGCAAATGACTGTACGTTGTCTTGAACAACTGGATCATTAGCAGAATTGTGTTCATTATGTCTAGATGCAAAGAATACTAAATTTGAAACAATTATTTAGACCAAGGGTCTTCAAACTTGGCAAGTTTAAGGCTTGTGGACTTTTAACTCCCAGAATTCCTGAGCTAACATGACTGGAGGAAGAATTCTGGGAGTTGAAGTCCACAAGCCTTAAACTTGCCAAGTTTGAAGATCTCTGATTTAGACATTGGTATCTCACAGGAATAATTTATAAGTACAGTAGACAACAAAATGTTCACAAGTGTACAGTTCATGACAATGCATGTTGTCTCAGTTGGATGAATCTTGATTTTTAGATAAAATAACAGCTGCACTAGTGTTTGGATAAAAGCTTGTAGAAATCTCTATTTCAGTCTAAGACCAGAGAAGGGCTTTTGTGACAAGTTACCTGTTTAAAAAAGATAGGCACAGGCAAGATGGATAATTTGACATTTGTACTATGCTCTAAAACGACACATAAAGAAGACTTTCTTTCCTAGTGTTATTTTAGAGATAGTAATTAATCCAGCCCATGGATAAGTAATCTACCTTGGGTACTATTTGGATGAAAGAACACCAGGAAAACCTAGAACTTATAGGCTGCACGGAAAAGTTGAAACAATTTCTTGGAAGGTCATGGCAAATCAGTTTCATATTGCCATTAATGAAGAAATGAATGGCAAATCCTTGTCTTTGCCTTAATAATGAAAAAAAGCAGTTAAGATGCATGAAATATACAGCATCCCATTTTGAACAAAAATAATATGCCCATTAAATATGCCCATTAAAATTGACAATATGCCCATTAAAATTGACTACTGTAGATAAGTTCTTAAAATTGCTTAAGTCGGGGGTAGTTATATAGTAGGAAAGTATCCAACGCTGCCATTTACCCAAATAGCTATAATTGTGTTGGTGCAGCCTAGTTGCTTTCAATAAAACTTCTGGGACCAGAACTGCGGTCTTCAACATGCTGTTGCAGAAGACAAATTATCCACATGACTCATGTATTTTTATTTATATGGTAATGAATACTGTGTGCAAATAGTGTGTTAACATCTTTTACAATTTCAGTGAACTACAGGAAAAACTGATTACTATTCAATGGTGAATTGGAAGCATGGAATAATGGCAATATATAGCTTGCTGCTAGTTATAAATACTGAGGAAAAGCTATTTATAAAAGATACAATACAAAAACATGAAAAAAATCATGATAGACAAGAGCTCAAAAACACAATTTGTACTTTATATAAAATACTCCGAAAACAGTTTAAAACTGTAGGTTTGCTTTCCAGTCACAATTTTATAAAACCAAAACAGCATTTTATCTCAGAAGGCTTGAGAATATAATAACGTATAGTATATTAAATATACATTGAGAGATGCATACGTTTTTGGCCACCTAAAAATAAGTGGCAGAAGCTAAAGGATTCTCTTTGGCTAGTAAGATTCTCATAAGTAGGCGAATCTACCATATATTAAGTATTGCACAATTTCCCCACAACAGTTTAGAGGCATATGTCTATTTTCAATGAAACATGTTTACCTCATGCTTTTTGCGTCTTATGTGAGAATTAACAATTCCATACATGCAATAAAGATAATTTTCAGGATAATATCAATGCATGGGTTGAAATTTTGTTACAATCGACTGTAATTTCACTTAGTGGTATTTTTTATAACATTCCTAAAACAGAAGGCTTTGAACCAACATTACAATAAGATACATTTATTTTAGGTGGTTCTTAATTAAAACACCAATATTTTTAATTGTAATAGTGTGCTAATGTTAACAATTTTGTTCAGTCATCCCAGGTTATAGCTTCAGCCAGCAATATTGTTTTTTGTGTATATATTATTTCTCTATCCAATTCAAATACTTAATCTATAGTAGAAAATCATATTAAACCTGTATATTTCAATAGAGGCACTGAAATAAAACAAGCTATTTGTATAAAAAAGTCTGTTCTTCTAAGATTTTAGAAGTCAGTTGTAAACATTAAAAATCCTTTCTAAAAACAGCAAAGAACTGATTGTTTATACATGAAAATAAATAGACACAAGAACTACACATTATAAAACCCCTACTGGCACTAACTGAATCAAATTAATTCGATTAATACAGTCTGAAAAGCTATCTTGCTATCAGTTTGAAATGTATAATTCATACATCAGTATGTAATATTGTGTATTGTCATAGTACTTTTAACAATTCATTTTTCAAGTGCATACATGAAATAGAAATAAATAGATAAGTTTGAATTTTAAACATCTATGAACATCACTCAAATGAACATGGTTCACCTAAAATATAACTCAAAAGAAAAAAAACTGCTTGAATAAATCCTGTAACATTTTTCAGCTTTCAAGTGCTGTTATTACCTATTCTTGTATCTAAACATTGAAACAGAAATTCTAATGTCATAGATCCTACTATGAAATATTGGAACAATAAACCAGCACTATGGTACAGGAAAGGTTTGCTGGGGCAAAAGGCAGTCTCTTCTACTTATAAATCAACTGCTAAATATGCATGTCACCATTTCAAGCACATTTGGTAAGTAGTAAGAATGAAGAACGGACTAAGTTACCAATTAAGAGATGCTTTTATACTGAAGTCCATTTCTTCTCTTATTCCATAGCTGCTATTCTTTGATATTTTGAAGGAGTGATAATAAATGAGTCTCAATAACCTGTTGAACTGAAATAGAGGAAAACATGGTTAGCATTCAATTATTTAAACCGGGGACTTCTAAAAGCACTGAAACATGTGAGGACTAGAGAGATTTTGTAATAGTTGATATATGCATTAGGCATACACCTATTAGTTTCCAATACACAATTGATTACACTTGTGAAGAAAAAGAACCAAGTTACACCCAGCGATATACCTAATTCAGAGTGGCTGTGGTTAGCGATGTTGGGTGGGAGTTCAGACCCAAGATACAGATTTTCTACCCTTCACTTCTATATAGAAAAAATAAGATTTGCTGTTTGAATGCATTGTTAGGAGTAATGGCTGTTCCCAAGCCTTGACATTGATAAAAGCATAGCTACCATCCTGTATACATATGTATACATATATACAATGTGTCACTGCAAATACATTTATGCCTTGTGTAGCCACACGATGGTTTTTTTAGATTATTAAAGTTCTATTGTGTTATCCCTTGAACATGCTGTACTACAACCAAGCATTGGTGAAAAGCTTAGTTCTAACTGTACATTGTGTGTGTGTGTGTGTGTGTGTGTGGTCATTATCCACACACACTACAAACAAACAGCCATTTATAACATTAGGAATATTTTTATCTTGACATTAAAAGGGAATTGATACACATAATATTTATCTTTGCTTAGCTATGTAAAGGGTAAAGAATGCTGTTCTTTAAAGAAGCAGTAAGAAACACTTGGGAGGACTTCTGATTTAACAGGCCATGGTTCTAAAATGCCCATTCGAATATGCATAACAAAACCTATTAAGTGGCTAAACTAACCAACTGACAGTAAAAAGGACAGCAATAGTAAAAAGGACAGCGCTTGAATACTCACCACTACGATGGCCCAAAGCTACAGCGAGATCCATAGAATTATATCCAGAATCAGTTTCTACAGTTGGATCAGCACCATGTTCTTTTTAAAACAAAATGACATTTAGGAATATGTACATAAAGGTTAAATCTCATTGTTTAATCTAACAAGTTCCTGAACTCTTACTTCACAATGCCCTTAGGGTGCTCCAGTGAATACCCTGACAGTTCCATTTATTTAGCAAAATACCCCACACTACCTCTGAATTCACTGCCACAACACAGTTTGGGCACTATAGGTTTAATTTGTATTATTAATAATTACCTAAGAGTATTTTGACACATTTCACATGATTCCCATGAACAGCATAAAGCAAGGGTGTACCACCATTCTGAGGAGAGAAAAAAATTAAAATTTCCTTTGCATAGCTCAATGATAAAACCATTTGTCCCAAAATTTCAATTTATTTATCAGCAAAGTGTATCATATTGTCCCAATTCATCTTTTTCTTATCAAAGCAAGAGAGGTGGATTTTCTTTTGTGAACTAGACTTTAGCTTGCACCCACTAATTAGATGGCTTTCTTGTGGTTGGGCTACAACTCAGCCTGATGACCAGAATACTACAGGAAGCATTCAGATATCCTGGCTACTTGGAATGTGGAAAGGAACTACAAGCCATAGGTGCCCTCAGATCCTGGAAAAATAACAAGAAGGAAGTGTTCAGGAATTAAACCAGGTCAGAGAAGTTGCCATTCTGGTATTCTAATAGTTTTGTAAGATGACACAGAGCAGAAATTGCAGAAAAATAAGACTTGGTAGGTATTCTTTCCCAAGGTTTAAAAAGAAGAGGAAGAAGTAGAAAAGAGGGATGGACATTATAGGAAAGTTGTAGAATAATATGTTAAAATGACAGACCTTTATCTCATTTCTGTGTCAAGCTTAACTTGATGAACTTAAGTCCCTTGAAAATTATCTTAGCCATTTTGATTGGTATGAAGAGCCAAAACCCATAATTATACAGTCAAGGAAAATAAAGTTAAATATGTTTATACAATCCAATTTACCATATCAACTATTCACAAAATGAAGAGTATCAAAAAAAAATTCTAAAGCAGACATTCACCCTTTATGCTCTGCTGGGGGCATATCAAGTGCTGTGATGTGTACCCAAGCCTTGGTCTATGAATAGGTAGGTAGGTAGATAGATAGATAGATAGATAGATAGATAGATAGATAGATAGATATGGCACTTGCACTCCCACTGAGAAACTTACCCAGTCATATTCATTTACATCAACTCCACAATCCAGTAGCATCTTGACAATGTCTGTATATCCTTTACTACATGCTAGTGAAAGTGCACTCTCTCGTCCTTTCCCCAAGATTTGTGGGTCTGCACCCTGTCAGGAAAAGCAGCATTGGTTTCATTATCAAGATCATTCAGGTGTAGAACACATGGATCAATCAAATGATCTAAGTCCAAGGATCAAACCCATTATAACATATAGCCATTTGCTTCTTTAAAATGAATGCAACGTCTCCAAACAGCCAAGGAAAAATTTGTTTGAATGAGCCATTCTTTCTTCTTCTTTTTTTGTAAATTTTATTTGAGTTTTCACAAAGAAAAAAAAATACAAATAAAACATCTTTTTTTAAAGCAGCATAATCCCGGGTTACATTTCTTCATACAGACACAAATTCAGGTTCATGCTCATTTTTATATTCTATCCCATATCTTACTACTATTTTACATTTTCTGCATAGCTTCTCCCCTCTTTTAATTTTCTCAATTTTACTTTAATTATCTCATCTCAATTCAAATCATTGTATTTATATTTTTTGTCTGTCCTGTTTCAATTATCTATTATCTTTTCTCATTAAACAAAATTTTTCCTGTAGTTACTGATTGGATTATGACGCCTTTATATCTTTTCACTAAAGTTGTAACATTCAATATAATACATAACTTCCATTCGGATTCTGCTTGGTACATTCTTAAAATACACACTGTATTCTTAAAAAAAGAAAAAAATTATAAATGTATATAATTAAAACAACATTCCATTCCAATTCAATTCTATCATTAATATTCATTAAAGTCAACATCTTTAACATTACTTTTCAATTAAATATCATACTTCTATGGGAACAATTATAAGCTTTCCATAGTTAATTCCCCCCCCTTCACTTATATTTTATTCACTTATTTTATTCACAAACATTTCACTAAATTACACTATTTTATCCCTCATTTTAATCATATGTTGTATCCAATTTTCTAAAGTTATTTCTATTACTAACATAACAATACAGTCTTATGTACCTTTACAGAATCCCTTTTTCAGTTAGATTTTCACCCATTATCTTTAAATAGGTCCTGTTTGAAGGGCTTCGGTGACAGACAGAAATCCGCGATCGTGCGTGGTTTCTGTCTGGGCTCACCGCTGGAGTGCCCCGAGATGGCTGGTTTCGGGACTAAGCCACTCCATAGAGGTGAAGAGGGGGGAGACTGCCAGCAGGGTCGAGGAGAGCTGCATCTCTCCTCCTCAGCTGGCCGTTACTCCCTTTCCTGAAGGCGGTTGCAGCGGTGGTCAGAAATGTCCACCACAAAGAAGAACTCGACCAGAAAAGAATGTGCAGGAGGAAGATAAGAAGTGAATGTTTTGGCTGACCGGGTTAAATTGAAATGCAACAACCAAGGTACCCTGGAATTTAAACTTACAAAAAAATAACATCGCTCCCAAAGAAGAGTCGGAAGCAGCGAAGCCAAGTGAAAAGGGAAAGGTTTGGCTTTTTTTCCCTTCTCTCTCCTTCCCTATACTGACAACTAAGAGACTTAAATAAGAAATCAGAAAAATCCGCTTTGACATCAATAGGCAATTAAGCTGAAAATAAAACAAAATGCCAAAGGGATAATAAAGATTTCTGGACATTAAAAACGTTCTTTTTCATAAGCAGGAAGGGAGAGAAAAAGAATAAGGGCAGGATCTGGAAGAGGGAGGAGACTGCCTGGAATTAAAAAGAATCTAAAGTAAAACTTCAACAAGACTTCTAAAAGATACATTTTAACTGAAACTTTGCAACTAAATAGTAAACCCAGGAAGAGAAAGTGAAAAAAAAAGAGTAAAAAAGAAACAGCTTGTGTGTATTTGGATTATTTGGTGATCTTTGGAGTTTTGGTTATTATATTTGAATGACTAAAATCAATCGGGTGGTTGTTTAAAAATTTATACAATGGCACCACTTCCGGATGAATTGAAAATGGAACGTAAAAAGTACAAAGAAGATGCACAAGAAGGGAAGGGTTCTTTTGGCTTCGTTTTTCAATTCTTAGAAATGGAGATTTGGAACTATGAGAAACAACAAGAAAAGACTGCAAAACAAGAAGACTGGGACAAAGAAGAAGTCATCTTTAATGAACAAGCAATTTTATGTGGGGAAGAAAAAGGAAAGGGGGGAAAGAGAATGGAAAATTTAAGACTTAAAAAAACAACCAAAGAAAAGAAAAATAATTCGAAAAATAAGTATAATACTGGAAAGCAACAGAAAAGGGGAATACAGAAGAAAGAAATAGAGGTAGAGAGACAAGGGGGTAAAAAGGGGAGAGAGAAGAAGAGAGGGAAGAAGGAAAGGAAAAGAAGTTACAAAGGACCGGAGCAAGATATAGAGAAACAGGACCACTCTTTCTTCTTATGCACAACTCTTCCTCTGTTGCAGTTTAAAATAATTGCTTCTTAAATCTGACCCTTCAGTCAGTTTTTTTAAATAATAACCTTTACATTCCTAAAGAATAATCACATATCTTTACTCATTGTATTTTCCACTATCCCTCTTTTAGAACAGGAATGCAAAATAATAGTTTAAGTACTGATGAATCTATCATTTAATATGATTCTGGGGAAAAGGTTATTTATTGCTCCTATGAAAGTATTAGACAAGGGACATATAGAAATAGAGAAATAGACAATTAACGATCTGGATATGAAATTATTTCTATAAATGGAAAAATACTTAATAGGAGACTAATGCAGTATCATTTATAACTGCAGATCAAAACACTTTGAGCTCTACTGATGTTACTTACATACCTTAAAGAGACTGACGCCCACAAAAGGCCGACAGTCCTAAATCTTGTTCCCCAGATGTGTTCTGAGTCTTTATACTATTATCCCACCATCTGTTTTGGGGCAGTAGTTTGATATTTCTGCTGCCACCATCTATTGTGGTAAGAACAGCTCTGGTCATAACAAGCAGCTTGCAAATTATTTCATCCAAAAGAAATCCAAAAGAAAATCTATCATTCTGGAAAGATAATAAGGTAGCAATGGATTCCTACAAATTAAGAATCCTCTGCCCAAAATATTACAGACCACAAGGAGATGGTTCAAAATATTAGAGATCACCAGAAAATTCTAAACGAAAAAATCCATCTTCATGTGTATAGCCTGAAATACGGAGGAACGTGGAAATTAAATATCCAGTTATATAATTTGTATCAAGAGATAAAGAAATATAGAATACATTTTTTTAAAAAAATCCCTAATTCAAATTCCTAGTTATATGTTTTACATATTTTTATAGCAACCAAAAGTTTTCTGAACCAAATGGTCCTCTTGTTAAATTTCCTGCACTTCTCTAGTTGCTAAAGATCCAAAAATTGATCATAGGCTGCTGAGGAAGATAGAAATGCTTTTTACATCCAGCCTATCTCTATAAACTCCTTTCTGGTTTCAGAAAAGCAGGAGAAGTTAGAAAATCTTGCTCTGTACTAGACAAAGAAACCATTTTCACTCACAGGGATACGGCTTGTGAATCTAAAGTCTGCCATGCAGATTCATAATACTTGCATACTCATTTCTCAGTTTTTATATTTTCTTGGTACTGATGCAACTTCTTTAACAATTTACATTCAGATGGAAAGAAACATCTGCTTGTAGCATCACTAGGCATATATAAAATACAATACAATTTCACTTACATTTTGGAGTAGAAATTCTACTACTGCGATTTGCCCGTGAGCTGCAGCCCACATTAGAGGAGTAAAGCCTTCTTCATCCATATGATTGATAACATTTTCTGTTCAACAAAACATACAGGTGAACTCTCCACTTATTCTGCCCTTGAATTACCCAACTGCTGCCAAAACTTGCATCCCATTCATAGTACTTTGGGGGCTGCAAAATACACTTTCCATCTCCATTTGGCTGGAGGTTCAACCATGTCTGAGCTACATAATCCATCTGACATGTTAAAACAGATTTTTTCTGTTTTTGTTTCTTTTTAGTTTAAATAAATTATGTTTTAATCAGATAAAATCTTTTTATATATATTCCTACATCAGTTCTCTATTACAAAAAAAAATCCTAAGAATTTCTAGCTGAAATTAAAAATATAAACACTCTAAAACACTCATTATTAGTTGTTCACATTCATCAAATAGTCAAAAAGGTACACAGGCTGATCTCAGAGGTAAGAAAAAAATTATCTGTGACAACACTGCAATTTAAGCAATGTCATAGGAAATCCTGTCAGAAATGAACAATGACATAAGAAGCAGCTTGTACAATTTAAGTAAAACTTTTATTAAAAAACATGTTCCCTTGCTCATGTCATATGATTCACCAAAATTAAGGATACCTTGAATAATAATTTCATAGTACTATAATAAAAGGTTTGCTAATAAATATATTTTCCCAATGAAAAAAATGTAGAAGTCCCATAATGCAAGACTATCTATTGCTTTTAAATCTTTTCTTTCTGTAACACTGGTACATAGTTTTAAGTATATATATCAGTATTTGTATCAATGCTGATATAAAATGATTTGACATGATTAATTGAATTAAAATGATTTTGAACTTATTTCAAAGCAGCTGGAGAAAAAGAATGAATGCAAGGAAGAAATGGAAACTTTCTTTAAAAAAAGAGCCCTGGTACAGACCCCACCTAGCACCATATTATCTCTGCCAAAACCCCAGAAAAATCCAGAGATAAATTCTTACCTTGTTCTATACGTGTAGCTAAATATAACATTTCTCCCTGAGCTGCCAGCTGGTGAACAGACAGAGCTGCAAAGGAAACAGCAGAAAACTATATTAACAATTCGGTAAATAACAAAATTCGGTGGATAACCAGGAATCCACAGACACATAAATTAGGTTTATACTACAAATTGTACTAAGATATGGTTTGTCTTTAACTACAGTTATTATACTATATCACTTAGGTTCACACACTGAACTACAATCAAACCCACCAATTATCACATTGGTTTGGTATATGAAGTCAATCACAGGGTTAGATACTGGTAGGACATATATTAAGAAAGTGAGAGCTTCACTTTAGTAATAGTTCAGTTACAAAGCAATATGGTTGTATCTTTCATTGCTATAAGGCAACATGGCTGTACAAGTTTTACAATATATCTTTCCTGAGTAAAGCACTTGTGTGGAATTCTTGATGCAGAATTTGGTTGTTTGCTTGCAGATATTTTATTATCCAACTACATAGCATCAATGCTTATGGGGGTGGGATTTGCTCTATTTATATACAGTACCTTGCCCTGCCAGTATTGATGGAGATGGTATTGTAGTTTATTAATTACAGTATTGTTTTCCGCTTGTGTGGAATTCATCCCTATTTATCTGAATGTTGACTACTGAACAGGATGTATTCTGGTCTTTTTGTTTCCTTTTTGGCTTTTTTATTTTCTCTTTTGAATGGTAGGTAAATGCGATTTATCTTTACAATCTCAATTTATGACCTTAATAGAGCCTGCCCATCATAGTCATAAATCGTGGCAATTTTAAAATGGGTCAGTTACATGACCAACCTGATTTTACAGCCTTTTTGCTGTGGTTAAGTAAAGCAATGGTTCCCTATGGATGTGATTTTTGACAAAATATTATAAAATGTAGTCATGTGACTGTGGGGAGCTGCAAATAGCCATAAATGCAGCCATGTCGCCAAGTGCCTCAATTCTGTCACGACTGCTGTGTCAGTTGGAATTTTGAATCCAGGTCATAAACAGCCTCAAGATAGGTCCATCATAACTTCAAATGGTCACTAAGCAACTGGTTGTAAAGTTAGGACTACCTATATGTATCTATTGATGGCTAATTTGGCTAAGTGCCAACTTAAATGAATTCCCTAGTGATTTTGGATTTATTTTGGTTTAGGATGCAGTTTCTCAGTTGAAACTAGGTTGAGTCTGTTCATGCATTGTGAGATTAAGTTTTTATTGCTAGATGGCAGCAGTGAAAATCCTCTGCTAGTCTTCTGCTTACTTGTCCTATATAATGGCTATTACAGTCCTGACATTGTATGCTGTAGGACTTCTGTTTTTCTTCCTTGGGCTACTTAGTCTTTTGGTTTATTTAAGATGTTTTAATTTAAAGGTTTATATATATTATCTTCAATTGGTAAAGTACTTCTCTGGGTCTGTGGTAGAAAGCAGCCAAAGTAGCTTGAAGGCTCCTGAGGACTTCTGTATCAATATGTATTTCTGGGACTGTTTTCAAACTTAATTCTTTCTACAGAGAAACACGTACAGTTTACAAGCAAAGGTGTTGTAGAAACTTCATTTCCTCTGTGCTTGTTAGTTAAAGTAGTTGACTGCTTGATAGGTGAAAAATGCTTAGTAGTTGATGGAGTATAGACGTGTCTCACTTGAATCCCAGGAGAAGGAGAAGTGTGGATGTTGCACTCAGCTAGGTTAAAAAAAAAAGCTACTGTCAGAATGTCATATGGTATAACAATAATTTATTATATGAAGCAATGTGGTTGTTTCATGCTTTATTTAGATAACAACAGAGCTTATCCTCAGTTCAACATTTGCATAGTTAGAAGGACAAATGTAAAATGCAAAATAAACCATAGACTCAGGCAATTTAAGGCAAATGAGATTATGTAGGCAACCTTCATAATATGCCTGAAGATAACCTGGTAAAATATTTTTGGCTCCTAGCTTGTAATGATAATCTAATTATCTGACAGAAAGAAATATTTAATCAGGATTCTGCTCATGGTATAGGAAAAAGATGGCATTGATCACACTCTTGAATGGCCTGTAGTAGCAGTGGGATGGAGCCACCCTAGCTCCATCCCACTTCCACTACACTAGGGAATTGGGGGTAGGTGCATTGTGCTGTGTTGGTTCCTTTCCTTTCTCAAAGGTCTGTTTCAGTTGGTGTTAATAAGAGGGGAGAAGACCAATCCTTAGTCCCTACTTGTGCAATGTTTCAGGGCTTCGTTCTTTCTCCCCTCTTGAAACTACTGGGTGAGGTTATCTGACAGTTTGGGATGAGGTACGACCAATATGACTGGGAACACAAGTATATGCAAGGACCTGTTTTGTAGTTAATATAGTCATTATAATACCATGGGTGCTTTATTCTCAGCTGCCATATATTTTAATGTTTGCATTATTTTAATTATTATTTAAATGTTGTTTCCCCACCCAGAGTGAGATGGGCAGCCATATGAAATAAATATTACTCTATTTAGTAGCTTGGATTGGACAGACCCAATCATAACAGAAAATAGCAGGACCCTGTATTTTTATTCCTAAATTATTGTGTATATATCTGAGACTAAATATTAAGTCAATCCATAAACGTGGAAAGTTCAGGTCACTTTACATATAAGAATGGCAGAAAAATGACAGATTTTCCACAAAAGTGGAAAATAGAAGGGAAGAATATTAGATATACTTGCTGCCTTGAGTCATTTATAAAAAGAATGTACTATAAATAAATAATAAATAAATAATAGCAAAGAAAACAGGAAAAATGTTGGGTCAGATAAGATGGAACATCAAATCAAATTTAAGTCCATTCTTTATAAAAAAAAATACACTGTTCAACTACACCCATATACTCATTTCCCTTGATAGCATTATTGAAATTTTTTTGAAAAACTGACCTTTAAATAATACTGAAGCCACTTCAAGGTCAGAATTCACTTGATCTTGAATATTTTTGCTATCCTCTTCATTCAAGGACTTGACAAATCGAGAACATACATTCATATCAAACCTATTGGGCAGGATGAATTTCATTCCCATGGTAACACTCTGAGGTGGTCCTTCCTCCACACTGGACTCAAGGTGATGTTCAACTTTAATATCTGGCATATGAGACAAGCTAAAGGTGCCAGCACAATCTTCCACAATTAGCTGGGTATCAGCATCTAGATTGGTTGAAGACTCCATGATCTGAATTTCAATTATGTAATCTGTTTCTCAAAGTATTTGATGTATTCTTTTTTTCAGTATTGAGATTTCTAATAATCTATAGTTGGAAACAAAATACCAGTAAATTAGAACACTGAACACTGATTCAGTTTACTGTGCAAAAAATAGCAGTCACTACTATAAACAACTAATTAATTCTGAGTAGTGTAGAATATTCTCCATCTTCTGTACATAAGGAAAATCCCAAGATAGCCTCTAAAATTTCTATACTGGACTCGACTCAAATCAGATTTTTACTATGTTAGAAGGGATTCAATCAGTTCCTGATAGAAGTTTTAAAAATTGAAAAGGACTTCTTTTCATAAACAGTGACTGATGATCTCACATAGATGATCTCACTTATGGCAGAGTACTTTGGGGATTTATCTTTGCCAGTTTCGTTGCTGGTTTTACTATAGGCAGGGCTAATGCATCCTGAACATGACATTTATTTTGGATAAAAACTACATTTAAATTCCACTTTTAAAACCATTCCATTCCATTAAGTTCTTTTGGGGGAAAGCATGTAAACCAAGACAGCTTACAGAACAAACATGAAACATCACATTTTATAATAGCAACAGTACTTCACAGTTATACCGCTTCACAGTACTTTACGGCCTTCCCTAAGCCGTTTACAGAGTCAGCTTATTGCCCCCAACAATCTGGGTCCTCATCTTATCTCACAGTATTTTTCTTTTTTCAGGAAGGCTCCCTATGAATTGCAACACAAAACCAGTACAGGCAGTCCTCGACTTACAGCAATTCATTTAGTGGCTGTTCAAAGTTACAAAGGCTTATGACCATTTTCCACACTTTTGACCTTTGCAACATCCCCACGGTCAGATGATTTACATTCAGATGCTTGACAGCTGACTCACATTTATGACGGCTGCAGTGTCCTGGAGTCATGTGATCCCCTTTTGTGACCTTCCGACAAGCAAAATCAATGGGGAACCAGATTCACTTAACAACCATGTTATTAATTGAAGAACTGCAATGATTCACTTAACAAATGTGGCAAGAAAAGGTGTAAAACGGGGCAAATTAGAAAAATTATCACTTAGCAACATACATGTGAGGCTCAATTGTGGTCGTAAATTGAGGACTGCCTGTATCTTTCCATCGGACACCTCTAAGTTATTGTTTGTTGCCGCATGAATGCGACACAATTGCAACCAATTTAAATGCCCTAAATAGGATGCCTGTGAGATCTCCTCACCTGCAGAACCGGCATCTAGCAGAAGGACCTCCCCTTCGCAGACCCGGCTTACTTAAGCCGACCCGGGTCTCAAACTTCGCCACTAGAGGTTCCTCTATGGAGCGGACGCGTCTGTTCCCGCCACCTCTCCGGCTTCACTTCCACAGGTCGCCGAACCCTTCGCCTCCCACCTCGGCATCCTTCAACTCCATTGTCTCGCTTCGTTCCCCGCGCTGTAGCGCCCAGCCGCGGCTGTTGCGATTCCGTCTCATGACGTCACTTCCGTCGAAGCACAACAGGGGACTCAGAAACGGGGGCCGGCTCTGCTGCTTCCGGTTACTACCCGTCAGCTGGGCTGCAAGCTTCCAGAAAGCCGCGAGAGGGCAATACTGAGGAACTCTGGGAGTTGAAGTCCACAAGTCTTAAAGTTACCAAGGTTGGAGACCCCTGTCTTGGAGGTTTGCTCAAGAGAAGCTCAGCTCAAGACAAGGAAGACGCTCTGGATTAAGAATGGGGAAAATTTAGAGCAACGCAACCCCCTATTTAAAAAAAAATAAAATTGCCGAGGACAGGGAGGAATCGCAAAGCCGTTTCCCTCCGGCTTATTCTGCCCTCTTCTGGCAGAGGAATGAAAAAAATAAGCGGAAAGGAGCGCGAAAGCGCCTGCGAATGAGAAAAACAGTCGCCCTGTGCCAGGCCGCCGCAAAAGTTAGAGAGGAGGCGCGTTGTGATGACGTATTCGGAGCCGCTACACTTGCGTTGCGATGGCGGCTCCCTCGGTGGCAGCGTGAGAGTGAGGAACCGGAGGACCAGGTAACCGCGATCTGATTGTAGGGGGGGACTCCCACAGATGCGAAAGACCCCCCCCCCGCCTCTGAAAACAGAATGGTTTCCTTCCCCTGGGATAGCTGTTGCATTTTCGGCCTCAATTCCTCCTCTCTTAATATAGGTAGACGGTAGCGTTTCAGTGGCAAGGAAGGCAGAGGAGGAACAGACGCTACTTTCCCCACCTTGTCGTCTCCCTTCCAGAAAATGCTGCAGGAGCATTAGAGTAGATTAACGCTTCCTTGTTTGCCTGTATTGTTGTGCAGGTAGTCCTGGAAAGCCTTCAAGTGAATTCTGAAAGCAGCGCTTTCCCATGTTTGCAATCATTGGTATTTGGGGCAATGTTGCTTCTGAATAAAGTTCCTTGGAGCAGTTGTCCACTGGCATTCCTGCTATCAATGAATTCTAAAAGTAGCTGCAATAAAAAAAGTGCCCCATGTTATCTGTTACCAATCTGATTTCTTTTAAAATGGAGAAGGGGGGTGGGCAGAATTTTATTTTATTTTATTTTATTTTTTATTTAGTTGTCAAACATGTACAAGAAAGCAAGTATAAGTATGAACATGAACAAAAACAAAAGTAAATACAGATAAATGGGGACAATAAGACAGGGCATGCTGGTGCGCTTATGCACACCCCCTTTATTATTTATTTATTTATTAATATTTACTAATTGAGCATAAAATCTGTATGGTCATAAACCCAGTTTATGAACTCTGAATATATCAGCTATAAATTATCATTTGCAATTTACTATGTATGTGATTGTTGACAGTGAGACTTTTGCTCACATCCCTCTTCAGAGCTTGTAACTATTGTCTCTAAGGAAAAATATAAATCTTCAGATTTAAAAAAAAACTGAATGGAAAAGTGTAATAGAATAACAGAATTAAAACATACCCTGGAAGTCTTGTGTTCTAACTCCCTGTTCAAGCAGGAAATCCTATCTCATTTCAGATAAATGGTTATCCAATATCTTCTTAGAAATAGAATACTTATTTTAGATTATGTAACAAATATAGTGTAGATTATTGTAGAATGTTACCACCTCCCATTTCAAAATGAATGAAACAGGTTAGTCTCCAACAGTAATTTGAATTCTAAGATTTATTTTGCACATTCATATTTTAGATAAAAAAAGATTGGAGAATTGTCTGTTTACTTGTTTTTTTATTTGAAACAACCTGTTTGCTTTTTATTTTAAAAGGTTGCATTTAGAAAATTCTATCCCTATGAAGTTTACAGATAGAAGATTGCTTTCTGCTCCTGGAGAAATTTCATTTAAGAAACAATGGCAAATTACAAGCCTGTAATAGTTCAGACATTTCCCAAGCTTGGAGAAAAAATTACAAAGGATACTTTGTATTGGAAGAATTATAAGGTAATAACACATACTGTAGTTAATTATAGGAACTGAAACTGAAATTCTTTGTAAATATTACCTGATTTGTCCCAAAGGTGCTTTTTCAGCAGGCAACTGGACTTTTTTTTTTCTTTTGAAGACATTTCGCTTCTTATCCAAGAAGCTTCTTTAGCTCTGACAAGATAATGGGGAATGGAATGGTTGCCTCTTGAAAAAGAACCTTTGGGACAACTATAACCAGGATGACTGAGAATCTCTACACACTTTTAGCATTACCTGATTTGATTTTTTTAAGTGAAAAAAGAAAAAATGCAAAATTTGTATATCACTTCTGCATTTTCCCATTCATGGATGAACCTTGATTTAATGAATCCTCAGTTTAGCTAACTTTAGAATCAATGGATCAGATTTCATCCAAACATCCCCCCATAAATGCCAGACAAGTTGATTGCATTACAGTCTTGGTGAGATAGTTGAAGTTGCAATAATTTAACCTACATTTTACAAAACTACAGCAATTATGCAAAATATGCTCATGTTAATTTTTGAGAGCCAGTTTAGTCTAGTGGTTAAGGCACCAGGCTAGAAATCAGAGTGTGAGATAGTTCTGCCTTAGATAGTAAACAGTTTTCTAATAACTTTGCCTTAAAAAGGATAATAATGTTTAATGTACTATCTTTGTTCAGACTCCCATTCAGATAAAGGAATTTGGTGCAGTGAATAAAATAGACTTTTCTCCAGTTCCTCCATATAATTATGCTGTCACAGCCTCATCAAGGGTAAGATTTAAGTTAAATTTTGTTTTAAAATATCTACACTTTTTCACATTCTAATTCTACTTTATATTACAGGAATGGTGTATTTCTGCAAATTCACTTGCTGTATCATCCTATTTTTACTGCAGTAGAATAAATATGTCCATTTGCTGAAGGAGTCAAAACCATGCATAGGAAATTCAGTTCTGTTATATGGAAAGGGCTTTTATAATCCCATAGTATAGACATTGCTACAAACCAGAGTTATTTTTTGGCCATTTCACATTGGCCACACCAATATCTGTGCAATGAGAGTCAGAATATTATGGTTATTGACTTTGGCATAGGGCACATGGATAATGATTCTTGCAATAACTGAGACCATAAGCAACAAAGCTTTTGGCTTTTTCCAGTGTCATTCTGAATGAAAATTTGTGCATTATATGTTGTTTTAGATTCACATATATGGGCGATATTCACAAGAGCCGATCAAAACATTTTCTCGCTTCAAAGATGTAGCTTATTGTGCTACCTATCGAGAGGATGGGCAACTGCTTGTTGCTGGCAGTGAAGAGGGCAGCGTTCGGATCTTTGACATTGGTGGGAGAGCACCATTAAGACAGTTTGAAGGCCACTCCAAGTAAGTATGGGAACGTGACTGTACTTGATTCATTGTCTAATTGTTTCAATCTACAATTGTACTTCGGAGTAATTGAAATTTCAGATGTGAGAAAACATATTTGAAGCATCTGTTTTCTCAGCTAATCAACAAACGTGTTAATTATGTTGCAAATATAGTATTTATAAGTAAGTTATTATGTCTATTAATGTCATTAGTCACAGTGCATTGATTTAAAAATGATTCGTGTATGTATATGTAAAATGTAGTCTTTTAGGATATATTTTTCACATTCACTTTTGCTGCATTAGATCTGATTTTATTTAATTGTGACAGAAAACCTGATTATTTATTTTGCTTTTAATTAATGTTACTGAAAATATTAACAACCTGGAAACATTTGACTATTGATCCAAGCAGTGTTTTCAAAATTGTATGTTTTAAAAGTGTGGCTACAGTTTGTCTCTTTTTATGAATAGTACAGAATTTTAAAATATGAATTGTTGAATATATTTAATTTGCTAATTAAAGTTTAGTTTTTTATTTGCAAATTTTATAGGGTGCTCAAATCCGAACTATTTCTGGCCCATAAGCTGCATATAATATCCTGTTTAGCACATCATGCTTAACCCAGAATAACTGGATCATTGTTACCTTGATGAGTGAACTCAGCCATTTTATTTGTATTTGCTATGTGAATTAGATGGACAGCTTCCACCTATTTATAAATATTATTTTCTTAGATCTTTAATGTATTGTTCTCAAGTTTTGTGTTAATTAATTTTAAACAATAGAGATGATTTCAGATCCAGACTTTTAAGTATCTCAGATAATCCACATAATTCAGAAAACCATGCTAATCAGTACTCTAAAATAGTAGAATATACAGTGTTTCATGCTTTGAAGGTGGTGTATTGACTACAGCAAAAAATTGAAATGGCCTTATATTTATTGTTTTTTTTGTTATTGTGATTTATAGAGCAGTCCACGTTGTAGGATTTCTGTCTGATAAGTACCGAATAATGTCTGGAGCAGATGATTACACAACACGGGTCTGGGATGTTTCAACTTCATCTGAAATAGCCTGCTACAAAGAGCACACAGATTATGTAAGATGTGGCTGTACTAGTAAACTGAATGCAGATCTTTTTGTAACAGGTTGGTGATTAACCTTACATTTACTTGTGACAAAATGACTTCCTGAGTGATGTTTTCATTACCGTTACAATATTATCCTAATTATAAATTTCTTATTTATGTTCAAATATATTGATTTTCCTGATTCAGCTTGGTTTTCTGCTCTGTATTTCATTTTTTTGGGGGTGGGGTGGGGTGTAAGAATGACAATCATAATTGTAGGTTGGTAATTCAAAAATTCTGCAGACATTTTGGAATCAGAACATGAAATCCTTAGATGGCACATTTGACCTTAGATTATAAGACGCTTTATGTTGAAAACTTGGTTGTTGTTGAGTTTGTTTTATTGTTTTTAATGTTTGTAAGACATTATACGTTGTAAGACACCGAGTAAAATAGAATAGAATACTTTATTGGCCAAGTGTGATTGGACACACAAGGAATTTGTCTTGGTGTAAATACTCTCAGTATACATAAAAGATACATTCGTCAAGAATCATAAGGTACAATGCTTAATGATAGTCATAGGGTACAATAAGCAATCAAATCATACTAGGAAACAGTCAATATAAATCGACAGAGTTA